TTCCGGGAGGCTATCTGTTTTTATGCCCCTTAGACGATCTCCAGTCTGAGCATGGCAACTGGCTTTGGCATCCCAAATGTCCTGCATATTGGTCCCTCGATCCCTTTGGAGAGCAGAGGCTCAATCCCAAGGACGCTCTGGCTCTCGGACTTCCTACTCCGAAGCTTAAAATGGATGTCTGGGAGAAGTCGTGGCAGACAAGGGTTTATGACGCCTTGAGCCACTTTCACACCGTCAATGGGTTCGATCCTCACAGTTTGAATGTCGCCAGCCACGCTGGGCTCCCAATTTTCCAACTTTTTCCCCAGGGAAGGACAGATTTTGGATCGAGTGAGTGGTTGGGCACATTGCATTTTTTCCCTGCGCTGACGGCGAGGAATGAATCAAGGTGGCGAAATCTCATCAGAATTCAGCAGTCACTTCGACGAAGAGAGCAGTGATTCACGTCAAACCGACACACATGGTATGAACCTCTCCTCTTCAAGTATCTTTCCTCTCCTTCTGTTGACGATGAATGTAGGCGGCTTGAAGCCCACACATATCGCTGTCGGCATATGGTTGAGACTATATTTGAATATACTTCTGGGCTCACACTTCCTAATCGTTGCATTCGTTGCGATACTTTTATCTGCCGTCTTATTTCGGGGACAGTGGTTGAACTGACTTGTTCATGCAGTAAATGAAGTGTCTTGTACTTGGTCTGTATGGGTCATTATATGTATGAAGCTTTTGTGCAAAATCATTGGCATGCAAAGCTGCCTTCCACGCCAACATCTCCGCTGACATAAATCGCAATCTTCGGCCACGGACACAAGGGCATACTCCGGTTGAGCGCGCCCTTATTGAATTTCTGTGCGACGATCTTTTCCGGCGGCGTACTGTCTTCGACTCACTTCATGAGCTGTGGTACGGGATCGAAGTAGCTGTGCCCTGGGCCGCCTTCACAATGGAACGCGCTGTGCGATCAAATCCTGAAGGAGGGAAGGTCGTATTGAAGACCCACCCAGGAACGTGAAACAATCTGAACCATGGGTCTACATTTTTGCCCACGGTTGCTTTTACTCGGGTGCAGTAATCCAGGGAATATTTTTGGGGATTTATGTTGTCTGCCAAGGACTGGAAAACTGAAATCAGAAATGGCAACGAGACGCATAATTCACCACTTCTACCGGCGAGACAATTATCTTCCCTCCCTTGCGTGGAAGCGGCGGAAATCTGGAGAGTTCGCGTCAACGCAGGCACCGAGTGTGTCGTGAACCTCGAAGTGCTGTCGGATGCGCAAGAACTCGTGAAGATCGTTCACAACCTACCTTCGGCAACTCCCTGTGGAACTCGAAATCGGCAAGTGGGTCATAGATACGGTTCTTCGCAAAAGTATTCTGGAAGAGCGCGGTAGTGAATTGATGGTAGATCCCCGCTCTCACCGCCCAGGTAATTTCAGATCCGGGCACGAACCCTGGATAAATTTGTTTGTGCGTAACTGGATCTACTGGTCCTGAATAAAACGCTCGAGCGATGGCGAGCTGGGAAGCAGTTAAACACGAGTCGGAGCTGGCTGCACCGGGTGGGCACGCCAGTGATGCAGGATCGAAGGAACAGTTCAACGGCGCCGAGATGAGACCATCTTTAAGACCAGAGTACACTTGCGTATATGCGGATTGAGGAAATTTACTACTCGAGGCAGCGGTGTAATAATTGTTTTTCGTATACGTACCTTCAACGCTCGAGCTGCCCTGGACCAAGTCATCGCCATCATTAACTCGCTGTAGAACGATCCTTGCAATAAATCCCGGATCGTTAGATCTGCTTGTGCACTGTTAAGACTCGCCTACCCGGACATACCGCGTGTATTCCGTCAAAATCCTCAGGCCAGAGCTGCGCAAGCGCCAAAGCCTGGCCGCCACCTTTGAGGAAAAACAGAGATTTTATCATTGAACAAGGTCGTTGCTGGCGCGGATAAATTACCTGTGGAACAGCCAGTGAAGTAGCTGTGAACCGGTTTCCTGCCATAGTAAATATCAATCAGAGCTTTGTTGGCGACGGCAGTGTAGTGATTCGAGTCGTGGATCCAGTCTGTTAATCCGAGGTGACTATATATATATATATATGCAGGTACGGCTAAGGAGAGCGCCGAGGTGAGTAAGTTTGTTACCTACAACAAAAATAGACACGCACGATGTACATACACTCCCGGGTCCGCTGAATAAATGTTAGTAATGCTGAATTGCCCCTGTATATATTATGCGTACAAGAAAAGGAACGATTGAACTGGTGTCCTGAATCTGTTCTGCGAGCGCGAACCCTTATTTCAAGGGAGTACCGAAACCTAACATTGAAAATCAACGTTGATTCAAATACCAAGTCCGAAATGTGACTGACTTGACACATCCACCGAGGCTACAAACCCGTCTCCACCGACGCCGAGATAGCGGTGATTCCAGGCTTCTCGGTCTGGAAGCCAAAGCTCCAATCCGATGTGCCCTATCTTGTTTGACGCTCCAGTCTGGTTGTAAAATCCAACCAGGCGGCAGAACGGGAGGTCATTCCCCACGGGAGGGCCTATTGGGCGCGTGATACTGAGCTCGCCCGTTTTGTAGTCAGTGGTCTTTACAATGCTGACGTGGGGCACGGTACTCACAGAGGCGCGCTTACTTAGCACATGCATTGATAGGAATCGGGGAATCGGAGGAGGCCGTTGTAATTAAAAATGGCGGAAGGAGGACTGAAAGACCGAGGGAACTCATCGTAGTAGAGGAGGTTGAATGCGAACGCGTTCATAACGCGCAGAAGGCACAGCAATGTAAACGATGCGACTCCCACGTGACGGCGTAATGCCACAACACGCGGCAACAAACCTCCCTCTTCCGACCATCTTGCGACCATCACATCCTTTCTCTCCCTTTTCTGAATCTCAGCTCTGCGCATCTGGCGGCCAACGGGAACACTTGACCGCAACATTCGTTGATTTGCTCCTACAGACCTTGGTACCGCCGTACCGGTGGAGGAATTCCAGTTACGAGAAGCTAATATGATAGCACTATCGGCTGCAGGGAATGGGAGAGTTCGGAGGACTCGGGGGCGCGTGAGTGAAGAGGAGTGAAGCATTCGGTGCTCGGAGCGTACCGCTGCGTACGAGTCTTTTCTCTCATCGTAATTCCCATTGAAGTTTCGCAGGCACCATCTTCTACATAGATCACCGTACCTCCCTTCCCAGAGACGCACGCAATACATGCTTGCATCATCGCTCTCTCTAAATGCACGGCGGCGACTCAGTACTATTCCCCATTCGGACGTTCTATGCCTCGCATGCACCTCCGCGCCTTCGTTGCAGCAGCCGCAGCGACCTTCGCTACTCGTATCCCGCCGTACCATGCTCCCGACCCTGCCCAAACCGCAGCACATACACCTACGACCGCCTAGGTGTTCCTCATTCACCATCGGTCGCTACGTGTCTTTCGTACCATGTTTTTTGGCCCTTGTCCCACTGCCGGCGGCCGAAACTTGCGCCCGCGCTGCACGTTTGCTCACTAATCGCGCCAAATTGCCCGTCCCGATTCCGCGTTACCTCGGAGTTCGCACTGTCGCTCCCAGCGGGTGCGTCTTCCGCCAGATCGGCACACAAAATCTGCGGGTATGGCTCATGAATTACGCCTTGATCACACGGCGCATGGATGCGCAATGCGGGCGATGGTGTTTGCGTGTCGGGCCGTGTAAAAGATACGTCTCCTGAGCGAGGAAGAGCACGAATTGGGAGCCGTGTTTGGACGGCGAGAAATTTGGCGCTGCAGTCGCCCGACTTGATGTCTCGCTGGTACATGTCTGCAGGAGCCCCGCATGGACCTGGGAATGTTTGAGTTGGATGGATGGTACGTCAACGGCTCTCTGCTCGCTCGTCTTTCGAAAGCTGATGGTGTTTGCAGGCTAGCTCTCCATGAACCTCGAATCTGCTTCTACACATCGCCGTTGTGCTCTACAACTTATTTTGCTCTTGCACGTTGAACGAGTGGGCGGGGGATGATTCTCGAGAAAAGGTGTGTATCTCCTGCTGAATAATTCATTCCCCACTCGCATACCATTGCATTCGCAACGCGGTCTCCTTCGCAGGTGCAGTTCCAAAAAAAAATTCGAGTGCAACTTACTGAGACGCCCTTTTGAAGCTGTCTATGCTGCAATATTCCTGCTTAGCTCGCCAATCATACGGCGGCTTGTGTATCAACTTGACTCTCGCAGTTTGCTGTTTATCGATTAGACTCGTACCGATGCTGTTGTCTGTTGACTCGTGCCCTCCTGTCTATCGATTCGATGGAATTCACGATGTCGCCTTTTCACGATCCACGACTCCATGATTCAACCTACCAGTTTGACCCCGCTATCCGCGACTTAACTGGCTTGCTCATCTAGCACGGCCTCTTCTCCGCGCCGGAATTTCCTTGTCTCCTAGCTCCATTTGGATCCAAACTAATTTCGATCTAGTCAGCCAACCGCAAGGCTCTATCTACCCACGCAGGATCTAATTTGGCGCGCCCCGGGTTTTCAAGTGCGAGCCAACCAACGTACTACTTCAAGTCTTCAACGTCCATCGCGAAACTCTGCTTCGAGTTCTCCTGTGCGGTATCTCGGAATTCTAACTTTACACGCAAAATGATGGGCTTTATTCGAGGGTGTATACAAGCACAGAACGCCCTCGTGGATCATGCATTATCATGGTGATCATTCCTCACCTCTGCTGGGCCTGAAAAAATCTACAAGGGGAGAATGGAGGTTCGACTCCTCCCGAGCGCATGCGCGGAACAACCGAAGGTGTTTTCGTTGCGTATATGAACTATGTGGGAGGAAGGAGGGGATAGACGAAGGCTGCGCGGTACGGTTGAGCTCCGAAATACAGCTACAATATATCCTCGGAACAACTCTATCCGCTTGATGTCTTCATTTTCAGGCTAGCGGATAAAAACGATGGCGGTTTTTTTGAGGAAAGAAGACGATAGAAGAGGGGCTTGAAAGCCCTCGTGGATCATGGATGGTGATCACTCCTTTAAATATCGGCCCTTCGACGTTTCTGCAAAGGAGAGTTGGAGGTTCGAATCCTCCCGAGGGCATGGGTGGTGTGAAAAAGAACATTCCACTGCAGAGATAAAATATTGGGGACAAAGCGGAAGACAAGCTCGTTTTTGCTTGATCGCCTCCCAGATCATAGATACAAGCAGTGAGGGAATAAATGAGTAGGGAGGATTGAATCCTCCTCGCAAGGATGTTGCATACGGAATAAAGCGGCCCCCTCCACTTGTTGATTTTGGTTTCACAGACGAAATTGCGAGGTTTGTTAGCGGGCTCGCCTGATGAGAAAAAGCCTTGTGGATCGCGGTGATCATTCCTCCCAACATGATTCCGAAGCGCAGAATTGTCGGAGGAGATCTGGAGGTTCGACGCCACCCGAGAACACAGTGTTATTTCGAACATCCCTCTAAATCCTCCCTTGTTCAAAGGAGAAGGGCAGGGAGATTTTGCCGTTGCAGTGCCATTTGCCGCATGCAGCGGCACTTTATGCGGCAGTCAGCGGCAGTCAATTTGCGGCACCTACTGAACTGGTGTTCAACACAGTTGCGGGTAGTGTTGTGCTGGGCTCGGGCTCAGGCCCAAGCCCGACCCAAGCCCGGGTTTTCAAGCCCGACCCAGGCCCGACCCGACGTCGGGCTCAGGTAGGGCTTGGGTCGGGCTTGGATTTTTTCCAAGCCCGCGACCCGGGCTCAGGCCCGGGTCGGTTATCACCCCCCTATTCCTTCAAATTCTGGTCTGTAAATCTTTTTGAAGCTTTGCAGGTGTCGGAACCTTGCCCAATAAAGTTTAAACCACCTCCGCTCTGGTTCAGACCATTTTTCAGGATCAACTCCGGTCAAGACAACTTTCCGCTCATCGAGGCACACTTTTTACCCACCCAGTTGCTTGGATATACTCTGTTCAAATGCTGAGGAGTGTGCACAGTGAAGCCTCACCTACCCGGAGGTCAAATAACAAGTTTGACTGTATCAATTTACCTCAATACCACCATTAACAGAAAAATATTTCAAGCCCGGGCCTGAGCCCAAGCCCGACCCGAGCCCGACCCGACCCGGGGTGTAAGGTCGGGCTTGGGATTTTTCCCGACCCAAGCCCATCAAGACCCGGCCCAAGCCCGGGCTTTCAAGCCCGACCCGACCTGCACAACACTAGTTGCGGGCTTCTCAAATTAGTGCACAGATGTAGGATAGGACTGGATACATTGCTTAGCATTGACTTCCAGTTGATCTCCTTGTTGGGGACACCGCTAGGACATCATGTTGAACTTGTGCAGCGGCAGTCCTGCGGTAGTCAGCGGCAGTCAGCGGCAACCAAACAACTACAAACATTGTGCAGCGGCAGTCGGCGGCACTTTGCAGCGCAAGGGGGACCGAAAATGGGAAAATATGATATCACCTACAAATTTATTTTTCCAGGACCCTTCGGACCCCTCCCCCTACGTAATGTGTATTACGCGTCACGTAATCTGTATTACATTATACACGTGATCGCGAAATTCCCTTTCGGAGATCACGAACGCGTCAGACGCGTTGCAAATATCCCGCGTTATAGCTGTGCATTGCACACATCATATCGATGAAGTGATGCAGTGCATGTTGTTAAGGGGATGTGGAGTACCCTTGGAGCATCCGAAAATTGCAGAGATAAAACCAGATAAAAGCCCCCTCTCCATTGTTCCGCCCAGTGCACACAAATGGCCCAACAAAATATTACCTGCCAGTAATTGCATTGAAAGCGGAGACGCAGATGGAATGCGTGCACAAAAAGCAGGCTGTGTCTCAAAGGTAGGACTCCCTCTCGCTTCCAAACTATCCCTCAATATTTCCTAGTTCCACCTCAACTGTATTTCAATGAGTTACCCAATTGCATCTTGGCTTTGCGAAATGTTGTCTTGAAGGAGTTGTAGATTAGTCCTACATGGCGCTGCCCCAAGTCTTCCACTGAATTTCACCTTCGTTAGGGCTCAGGGCCATAATTGAATGTCACGGTGGTACAATACAGGAGAGCATTGTAATATGTTGGTGGCCAAGACTTTTGACAGACTGACTCAAATGGGGAATCTTCAGAAAAAGACTGATATCACGCCGTAGGGACCCAAATATGCTCGTCCTGGCACTTCCTCGACCATTTTTAATGCCCCGGAACGAATTTCGAGGCCCAAGAACCTTCCAAAACCCCTCAAAAAAATTGCATGCAATTTCTTTTTCTGCCGGCCGGCCAGACCCTCCCCCCCCCTACCCCATATGGAAGATGCTTATCTTCGGGCCCCCTTGTTGCAGCGGCAGTTTTGTGATTTCATGCGGCAGTCATGCAGCCAGCGGCAGTTCTGCCGCTTGCATGCGGCAGTCTGCGGTACTTCTGCGGCGTGACAGAGCGGCAATGTGACATGCACTGACCATGACTGCCGCATGGCATGCCAGTGCGGCAGTCATGGTTCAAGCCAGCGGCAGCCTGTCGTGCGGGACTCATGCGGCACTTGCACGGGCAATGTAGCACCACTGCGGCAGTGTTTCAGCAACGCCTGATACTCACCCCCAGTCCCGAAAGTGTTGATTTTTTTCGACTGTGGGCCCACCAAGGTCAACCATGGTCCATGTTCAACGCGGCAACACAGCCACAGTGCGGCAGTTTTTTTTGGCATGTCGTCCAAAACCTCACATTGTAAGGTTTCAGATCTATCAACAGGCTGATTAGTATGGAATCATCTGACCATAGAACACCCCCGAAACCCCTTGATTTTGGTCTTCACCAAAGTTATCTGCAGATTAATCTTGGAGTGGTGAAAAGTGATCACGTTAAATTTGGTCCGCGGTTGTCAACATTGGTGAGTAAAATGCATTCACACATCAAGAGTAAGTCATAGAGTTGAACGCGGCCTGAAAATATAGCTGTTGAACGATACTGGAGGTGCTTTTACCGAAATTGTCTTTGATGTGGTGTGGATATATTTTGTTGGACAAGTCAATGTTGAGATTCAGGTCGAAAGACCGAAAACCTGAACACTGCTACTCACTGTAACATCGAGAACACCCTTTGTATGATGTCCAGCACCGTCAGTCGCACGGCCTGCGGATTGAATCAATGTATACAGACTTCGGCGGCAGTTTGAGGCGACAGTCGGAATTGAAGCCCCTTTTCACGTCGAGGATGGACATAAATCCGAGGTTCCGTTGGATGGTCCACGATCGTCTAGCCTGCATACGACGATTCGAGCGTACGCAGGCTAGACGATTCGAGATGTGTCGGTGTGCACAATTTATTTTGAAACAAGAAGTTGTTGGTCTGTGTAGAAACTCAACTATTTTGGATTAGAACAACCGTCGGACTGCGAAGCGCACCATCCTGCAATTATCATGTTTAATCGACGGGAATCATGCTGAGCGCTTGAGGCCACGCAGCATGTTGAATGTTGAATACTCAAACAGTAGTCAACGGTTCATTCACGAGTTGGAACTTGTCCCAGCAGTAACAGACTCGAAAGCTGGAATGGGATGCTTAATAATAATGAGCGCTGGCGGGAGGGGCATTAAACCTTGAAAGCTATGTTGACGCGCATGCAGCATGCGGCGGCAGTCCGCAACCTGTACATGCGGCAGTAAATGTGTGACCCAGCGGCAGTGTGACAAGCGTGCGGCAGTCTGCGGCAATGATGCGGCAGTCAAAATTTCTGCCGCGGCAGCAAATGGCAATTGAAATGTCAAAGCGGCACTTTCACCCTGCCCAAAGGAGAAGTGGTGGTTGAGATTAATTCTTTTAGTGTTTTCAACCAAGACAAACGGGTGGGATTCGTAGCAACGGAGTAAACGCGGAGAGAAAACCTTCATCTATTGCGTTGATTGTTTCTCCCAACTATTGATGATACATGAATTGGTCAAGAACATCTGACGGAGGAGAGCTGGAGGTTCAAACGTACAACGGCATGCCCATTCACAGCGCTGTTATTCCGAGGGCAGATGAATGATACAGTCCGGGCTATTCGGGAAGCGAACAGGGCATTTACGGCCCTCGTGGATCTTGGCGATGGTTTCTACCTTCTTTACAGTTCACAAATAAAGTACGAGGAAAGGATGGAGGTTCGAATCCTCCCGAGGGCATACCGTTGCGTGCGAGCATCTTTTTTCCCCTTCCTTTTCCAGCTCTGTTTTGTCATAGCATTGAACGTTGAACCCTTGCGTGTGGTAGAGAAGACTGAATGTGAACGCGTTCATAACGCGGAGAAGGCACAGCAATGTAAATGACGCGACCCCCACGTGATGGCGTAGTACCACAACACGCGACCACAAACCAACCACCAACCTCTTTGCTTCCGAACATCACATCGATTTTCTCAGTTCTCTTTGCTCGACATCTGCGCTAATCTGGCCACGCAACCTGCAACATTTGAAGGCTCGGACTCACAGACGTGGGGGACTGCTGTCGGCTGGCGAGCTAGAGGGAACGGGTTCAGTGGAGTCGGGTGAGCGCCACGGCACGAAAGGTCCTCTGAACGATGCAGTCGGGATCCGGAGCGTACGTTGCTCTACCATCCTCGACAGTACCCCACCTGCGGACCCGTACCTCCTTCCCCGGAGACGCACAACATTCCCTTCGCAAACTAATTCAATTGCTCATGCGTCTCGACTCTCGAGTCTGTTGTCCTCCACACATCCCTCGTCTGCCGTCCCACACAACATCCCCGCGTTGCAGCCGGGCCTTTGTTGTTCGTATCTCGGCGTACCGGGTACACAACTGCACTGCAAAAACTACGCATGACGCCGGGAAAGTTTGAGCTCAACGGAGCTCAACATATGGGGCGTGATCATCTTTCTGCTGGTTGAATCGAAGCTGATGATAATCGCAGACAAACTAATGTGCTTTTCCATTGCCTACGTATGCGACTGTGTTCACGCTCCATACTATTCGTCCGTCAATCTGCAACCCTTCTATGCGGCAATACTCCTGCTGAGCTTGCCTTGTTACTTCTTGGGCCGTCACTCTGCGTATATGATCGGCGCGTATATGATCGGCGCTCTATCAACTTGACCCGTACTCTGCTGATGAA